TATAAAAATGCAATATGTGATATACTTAAAATGAGTACTGCAAAGTAAACAGAAAATTATACGAGTTGTTGAAAATTTTTTAAATATTTAAATTTTATTTCAGGCAATTTGCTAAGGTAGCGCTCTTGGTGTTGTCGCACAAGAGTCGCAGCTGAAAAGTTTCAGGTTTGAACTCTTATAAGGAAACTTTATTTTAATTTCAAAATTTTATTACAAAATAATAAAACTTTAAAACTAAGTAAACTTTATACTTTTAGCTATAGTTTTTGTTTATTTATAGTGTTTATTAATTATTTTAACTTTTTAAAAGTTTCATAGAATAAGTTCATCAATGCACGCATAAATTGACTGATATAAATGTAGTTGCAGAGAGTACATACAAAACTGAGGGTTTCAGTTTTGCCATGTATTCTTTGAATAAAAAGAAAAGTATTTTAACATTTATTTATAAAGTTTACGCTAGATTTTTAGGTGAAACAGTCAAAAGAAATAATAACTTATGTTTAAAAAGGTGCATACAAATAATACAAAATTAATTACACAGGCATACAAATTAGTTTACAAATAATTATAATTAAATTAAATAATCACAAATAATGTCATCATAACTAAACATAGAATTATATAATTTATTCCTTCTTAAACTAAACCAAGACAAAAATCTTTTCTTAAACTAAACTAAACAATTCTTTGCAAGAAAACAACTAGAATGATAGATGAATATTTTAAACAACAGAAGCTGTTGTTTAAAATTGTGCATTAATAGAAGAATATGCTAAACCCGCCAGTTTATTAGAACAATAATATTTAAGCTGATAGATTTAATTGTTTTGTTTAACGATAATTTAAAAGTTCCTTCTCATGTATGTTATCTTATTTAACAAAGAATGTATTTACTTTAGCAACACATAAAAGCACTTTAATCAGGCTTGGTCGGGAAGCGGGAGCGATCGCTCTTGATTGCTGACCATGTAAATAATATTTAGTTGCGAAAAGCTGGCCAGATTTTTTAGTTGATTTGAGAACATTTTAAAAAGCAAAAAAAGAATACTCTTTATTTCGCTTAATCAGCGTATTTTTTGAACCAATAGAATTAGTTTGTTCGTTAATTTGGCGGGTTTTTAGTGTTCGTGAATATTCTTTTTACTATTTTGCACAAAGATGTTTTGAGAACATTCAAGTTTTTTATGTTTCCATGTATGTCCGCAATACAAAAATATTTTGTTTCGTACATAAACTTAAATGTTCTCAAAAACTAAACTACCTGGCCAGTTTTTCGCAACTAAATATAATTACTGTGGTCAGTATTCGAGAGCAATCGCTCCCGCTTCCCGACCAAGCCTGTTTAGTGTGTCTAAAAAGAACTTTTAATATACTGCACTTTTTTTACTTTTACTTAAGTAATTTTGGTCTAACAGTACTTTTTCCATTGCAAAGATATTATATATTTAAGCTACTTTTCAACTGCATGAAAATTTTAATACAATAATAAACTCTCACTATTAATAATAATCTAACAATATTAATAATAATCTCACTATTAATAATAATCTCACAATAATAAATGCTCACTATTAAAATAAAATAATAATCTATTTCGATAATAATACAAGTAGTCTAAAGTAGTTTAAAAACAAACTAGACATTATGTAAAAAAAGTTTGTAAAAGTAAAAAATAATCATTTAATATAAGGTTTACAAATTGGATTTGTGTAGGCATGAATGCATGCCAACCTGTCATACAAATATATTTTATGTACACAAATATGTATGTATGTACACAAATATATTATGTATGTATGCACACCATAGACCATGAAATTCTTATCTTAAAGCTTAACTATTATGGTGTACGTGGCATACCCTTGCAGTGGTTTAGATCATACCTTTCTGATTGTAAACAATTTGTAACTATAAATGGAACCAGCTCAGATATTAAAAATGGTTCAATTGGTATACCTCAGGGATTCATATTAGGTCCTCTTCTCTTTATTATCTATAATAATGATCTCAATCTTTCTATCAAACATTCAAAAACGTATCATTTTGCTGATGATACTAATCTTCAATTAATAACAAACTCTCTCAAAAAACTTAATAAATATATTAATCAGGATATGCCCAGTCTTGTTCAATGGCTTAGAGCAAATAAAATCTCATTGAATACTAAAAAAATCAGAAATAATTATATTTAAGACTCGAAATACTAACTTTTCTAAAAAAAACACCCTAAAATCAGGTCTCATCCTTAGGTTCAAGAATCTGTTCTTAAAATCACTCCATCATTTCTACCTAGAAGGTTACGCTTAACTTTACTTTTGAATTTTTTACTTTCTATCTTTTGACTTATTTTTATTATATATTTTAATTTTATTTTTAATATTTTATTTTTAATAATTATTTTTATTATAACTTAGTTATTTTATTATAATTCTTGTTTAAGTATATGTGCATATATAAATGTACATTATATTAATTGTTATATATATATATTAAAAAACTGATTTTTTTGGTATAATTTAATAAACTTTTATGCAATTTTACTTTTATTAGTTATTATTATGTTTATACTTATTTAACTTAACTTCCTTTTATAAACTACTTTTTTATGTGGTTTTACTTATTACATATTATTATTATTATTATTATTTCTTTTTATATTATTTAGGTCATTGCGCTTTATTAGTGAATCACTGTTTACAATGACCTGTGTTTTTGTAACATCTGTAACACGAAATATATTGTTATTGTTGTTTGTTTGTATGTGATATATTTTCTAATCTTTAATCATAAATCATTTATGATTAAAGATTAGAAAATATATCACATATACATTCACATATGCATTCATGCCTACACAAATCCAGTTTGTAAAACTTATAAAACAATAACAAATATATAAAAATAATGCAAAAAATATTGTGTTATATTTGAACTAACTATGAAACAAAGTCATCTTGTGTAATGTTACATTTCTCTAATATAAAATGCACAACAATTTCATATATTATTAAATTTGAAATTAAAGACTACTTTAAATATAAAAGTTATGTGTAAAACAGTAATATTATCAATCAATCAATCAATCAATCAATCATATATATTCTGAAAATAAATTTTCAAGGCTATTTACAAATAGTATTGAAATACTAATCTCAAGTAAATACCTAAAAAAAATAATTTATATATATACAATTTATCTTAGTAATAATAATATTAATAATAGTAATAATAGCAATAATAATAAAGTAATTATAATAATTTAAATAAATCGGTATTACTTTCCATACAGCAATCATTTTTACATACAAAGTTACAGTTACAAACAGTAATAAACTGACTAAACGTAACAACTAACGATGACATAAAAACGACTACTGCTAAAAAAATTATAAAGACTTAGTAAAATTATTAATATAATCATAGTAGTTAAAATATAATAATCAAAATATATTGCAAGTATTATGACCAAATAAATAAATAAAATATAACAGAAAAACACTGAGAAAATCAAAACAAAACAACAAACATTACGAAACAAAACAAAAACCTACGCAAAATAAACAAAACCAATAACAACAAAAAAAATTAAAATTAAAAATAATAATAATAATAATAATACATGGTAGAATTAAACATAAATAATAAATGGCTAAAATGAAAATAAAAACAAATAATATATAACTGTATAAAAATTTATATACCACTAAAAATAAATAATAACTAAAAAACTAATAAAAACTAATGACAAACAAAAAATAATAAGTAAAACTATATACGCTAAAAAATTGAAGAAAAATAAATAAATAATCCTAAGAAATATATGAAAGAAAACTAAAAAAATGTATGAAAAAATAAATAAAAATCTTGAATTGCCGATCGAGGTTTTTTAACTTCAATTTTAACTTTAATTCCAAACGTTTTATATTCCTTGCTTTTCACTTTGATCAGTTTTATGATGATATTGATGTATACAGTTAATTCCCGGTAAGTCGAACACTGGTTTATCTCGAACTGTTTCATTTGGTCCCTTGAAATTGTCTAAGTGATTACTATTAAAATTCTCCGGTTTAGTCGAACTTCGTTAAGTCAAACCATTTTATTGTCCCCTTTCGGCAAATTTCTTCGTTTAACTCGAATTTTTTGTATGGGTAATCAATTAAATATGCTAATATAATTTTATATAAAGTACAAGAAACTTTAACTATGTAAATAATGAAAATTCTAGTGTTTGTTTAGCAGTAATATTAAAGATGCTAATATAACTCTCAAAACTTACCATCGTAATCTTTTTATAATATAATTTTTACCTTTAGCAACGATTCTGTGAAAAATCAACATAAAAAAATGGCCGTGGATAGAGTGCCGAAAGTTGGCACTCTAACGAAATATGCTTATAGTGCCGGAAGCCCGTTTATTGGTTAAAAAATATCACGTGCCAAAACAAATTCCGATATCATATATTTTAAATTCCAATCATTGGAAAAATATTTGAACTATATATTGGAAAAATTTCATTTCATTTATACTTTGAAGATGTCAACTAGTTTTGCATGCAAAGATATTTTTTTATCATTTGAAGATTTAAAATCTACTATTAAGAAATATGAAGATTCTCATTTTGTGCAGTTGTGGATTCGTGACGCAAAAACAATTGAAGCAGCTCGAAAAACCATTCCAAGAAAAGCTGCTTCAATAGCTCCACAGATAAAGTATTATTATATAAAGTACTGTTGTATACATGGCGGAAAAAAGTTTACAAATAAAGGCAATGGAAAACGTCAAACTTCGTTAGTAGTTGTTTTATTTTAATAATTTATTATCATTAATGAAAAGTTTATAATAAAATAAGATTTAAAAAATAAATTGTTAATAACTTATTTGTGCATAGGAAATAAACCATGTTCTAACACAAATGTTTTATTTCATCAAAAGTTAGAATATTTATTTCATGAAAAAATAACTAATTTTAAACATGCTTATTAAAGAGTGTCCATTCTTCTTAAGTTTTAAAGCATCAGAAGATGGACAAACATTAATCTTGCAAGATTTAAACAATGAACATAATCATGAAGTATCTGAGGTAAGTTATAAGTACTTATAAAATTTTTTTTTGATAAAGACCATTTATTTCAGGTTCCTTATAGAGTGGTTGAAAAAGGGAAAATAATTAAAACTACACCATATATTTAAAGTATTTGTAAACATTGTTAATATTTATTATCAAAAAGAAAAATCTGAAACATTGTGTTAAAATTAGGAAAATATGTTCCATTTTCTCATGGCATACCTGTTGTTGATTTTATGATACAATCTCCTGAAAATGTGAATTGAATCTTGAAATGTCCTGGAGTTTCATTTATATAAATGCCCGAAGAAGTTTCTGCCCAAGAAGTTTTCCAAGTGACATCCAAAATTCTTTGTTTCTACGACTTAATTCAGTTCTTAATTTGTTCATTCGTCTGGTATCAACAACATGGTCATAACCTAAGATCAGTCACTTACAACAACTTAACTATTCCACTAAAACAGACAACTGAACATGGAATTAATTCGATTACATACCAGTGTATCCTTTCTTGAAACACCCTTCCGAACACCCTAAAATCAGATTTCATCCCTAGGTCCAAGAATCTGTTCTTAAGGTCACTCCATCATTTCTACCTAAAAAGTTACACTTAACTTCATTCTTTACCTCTATAACTTTTTTTTTGTGTGTGTGTGTGTGTGTGTGTTTGTATAAGTACATCTTATAATTTTTTATTTGTGCATGTATATATATTAACACATAATAATTAATTTACCTATATCTTACCTTAAGTTCTGTTTTATGGGTGTTGCTGTGAAATTCTACTTTTATTATGTGGTTAATTTATTTCTTTTATTATTATTATTAATATTATTGTTATTATTAGTTTTTTCTTTATCTTATTTAGGTCATTGCGTTTTATTAGTAAATCACCATTTGCAATTACATGTGTTTTTGTAAAATTCTTATTAACACAATATATATATATATATATATATATATATATATATATATATATATATATATATATATATATATATATATATATATATATATATATATTGCTTGATTATTGAATTTTGTGACTGCCAAGTAACCTGGAAAGGTGTCAGGATTAGACCATATTAAATTATATGTTCTGTTTATTTTCTTTATTATAATGAATAAAGAATTGCTTTTTAAAATAGATTTTGTATAAACATTTACCAAATCAAAGAAGACTTCCCAATTATGCTATTGCAAAAGCAGAAAACTTGTTACGCTTAAAAGCTAATAAAAAACTTCTACAACAAGAATTGTCAAAGGAGACTGGAAAAATGATAACTCTTCGTGACTTATCAAATATTGCTGCTTCTGCGTGCAAAAGTGATACCCGAAATAATTTAACAAGCTTTGTTAAGACTTTAAAGGAAAAATACAGTAAGAAAGTTATGAAATAAGATTTTAACATAAGTTATAAAATAATAATTTTTTTTGTATATTATCATATTTATAATTATTTTCATTTTTGATTTTTATTTTGTTACATTTTGTGCATGCTCTTTTTTCAAATATATATGTTTATATATATATATATAATATATATATATATATATATATATATATATATATATATATATATATATATATATGTATATATATTTATAAATATATATACATATACATATACATATTCATATACATATATATATATATATATATATATATATATACATATACATATATATATATATATATATATATATATATATATATATATATATATATATATATATATATATATATATATATATATATATATATATATATATAAAATTTTCAATTTCAAACATTTTAAAAGACATATATTTTGGTTGGGGAGGGAATACATACCCCTAATCCCCCTAGATTCGTCACTTTATAAATATATGTATTTTAGATGCTAATGTAGATGTTTTAACGGATGCAGAAAATAATTTACAAGGGCTTTTTTTCCAAGATATTTCAATGCATAGTGTTTACAATGCATATCCTGAATTTTTATGCATGGATGCAACTTATAAATTATTAGAAATTCGTTTGCCAGTATATATTCTGCTATGTGAAGACGGAGCTGGTTAGTTTGGATTGCTTCTTTATATAACTTTAGTTACTAATTTTAATTTTGGTTACTGTTTTTTTTTTTTGTTTGATTGATTTTTGAAATTAGCTTTAGCTTTAAAATTTAGCTTGTTACTACAAATTAAAATTTAGCTTGTTACTACAAATATTTTTCATAGGTGAAAGTGAAGTAGCAGCTGTCGGTTTGCTTGCACGTGAAGATGCTGCATCTCTGAGGTATGATTTATTAACTATATCTGGCTTTGATGAAATTACTTTATAACAGATAAAACTAATATTAAATAAAACCATCTGACAGTATTAGGTGTCCTTGAGTCACACACCAAAAAATTCTTACAAAAAATATACATAGAAAATAGATTATGTGAAAGCTATGAAATTTTTTGTACATAATTTTTAGTTGGTTCATTGAAAGATTCAAGAGTTATAATATTTCTTGGCCAAAGACAAATGTTTTCATGACAGATAAAGACTTGAACGAAAGAGATGTATTGCGTGGTGCTTTTCCGGGGGTATCTCTATTACTCTGTTTATTTCACACCCTTCGGTAATAGTCATTGTTTATATGTCACTAATTATTTGATTAAGGAATATTCTCTTGTTCTGATTCTAGTTACGCTTTTTTTTTAATTTGTACCTGTATTTATTGATTATCTACACAATCTTATAAATTTTGAGTTTTCTAATATGCCAACACCATCTTGTCTTTCAGAACTTTTAGTCGTGAAATTACAACTGCCAAGCTTGGGATTACAAGTGGGGAAAGAATTTCATCTCTTGAGTTTATTCAGAAATTGGCCTATGCTACCTCAGAGAAAAATTATGACGAACTATATAGACTATTTGTTTCATCAGCTCCATCCACTGTTATAGATTATTATAACAACAATTGGCATAATATTCGTGATGAGTGGGTTTTTGGTCTAAAATTTATGAGCGGAAACCTCATGAACAGCACCAATAACCGGCTAGAAAATTTCAATGGAAAGTTAAAAGAAGTCATTGACTGCAATAGCTCTTTAGAAAACTTTCTTGATAAATTCTATGTTGTTCTAACATCAATGCGCAATGAAAGAGATCATAGGACCATTTTTCAAATGCAAAAAGTTTCTGTTGATGTGTTTGATCCTAATTCTGCTGAGGCAGCTTATAAAAAAGTTTTGACATTGTATGCTGCTCGACATGTTCTAAAACAAATGAGCTTGTTTAAAGAAATTATATTGTTACCAGGAGAACATGGCCAGTTCATAGTAAACAGCCATGAAGGTAGTCATATAGTGACTTCAAATTTTTGTTCATGCATGTTTCGAAAGTCAATGAACTTACCATGTCGACACATATTTGCTGCTCGCCAGTTGCTTGGGATAAATTTATTCGATACTGAGTTGTGTTCTGAGAGGTGGACATTAAAGTACTATCGTCAACATCAACGGGCCTTTAGTACCCAAGTCACAGATGGAAAGCCTGGAGCTGTAGATTTTCATGTTGCTCCAAAAGTAAAAGTGCAATCTCAGCATGAGAAGTTTAAACTTGCCATACAGGAGACATCACTTCTTGCTACCCTTGTATCTGAGTCCACAGGTCATACACTTGAACAACGTCTTAGTCTTTTGCGAACTTTAAGTAAAGGTTGGTCAGATGGAAAGGTAATGGTACTTAACGAACTTATTGAAGAAGATGATTTAGTAACGTGTGAACAAATATCTAAACAAACAGGAATATCATCTCATACATCAATAGCAGCAACATTAGTTTTTTCTGATGTTAATTTAACAACATTTTCTGCAGTCGGAACAGTTAATTCAACTTGTTTACCTGTTAGTGTTGTTGTATCAACCTTACAAGCTGGTATTTGTTCAACAAGTTCTTCTACTACAGTTAGTGCATCTAAAAACGTTGCTAGCACATATTCAATAAATTCATTGGAATGTGCAGCACATGTAAACGATGAAGTCACTTTAATAGTTCCAAAAGTACTCAATAAAGAAAGTATATCAGTGTCACAGATAGGTGCACAATATGAAATTATAAATAACAAATTTTTATCAGAGCAAGCTGAAATTGCAGAAAAAGAACCATATCAGCAAGAAGAGTTGACATCTGGGAAGAGTGATGCAGGTGCAGGTTAATGTATAGTAGTATAATATTGGTAAAACAACAAATAAATTATTTATAGACTTCATTAACTTCATTTTATTTTATTGTAGATTCTTTTAATTTACTAATTTTATTGTAGATTCTTACTTGGCACAGATTCACGTGCCTAAACGTGTCAAACACTGTGGGCGTCCTAAAGGTTCTACTTTAACTACTATTGGTCTACCTAAAAAACGACAACGTCAGTTGCATGAAGGGCTAGTACCTTTTTTAAAACTTCATCCGTCTAAAAGACATGCTAGTATGTATAACCAATTTTGTAGACTGCAACTTGTAGTTTACTTTATTGATTGGTATTTTTTAAGTTTAATGTACTAGCTAAATTTTTATTTCCGGCTAATTAAATAATACTGACTATATATTTTTTTTGTAGTGATGCTGGGTTGGTTTTTGAAACCAGATGATGTCCAGAAAGCTCTTTCTGGCATTCTTATACAGAGTAGTTGTATAGAAAAAAGAGTGAATTGTATTTCTTCAGCTATTCTTGATGAAAGTGCTCAAGGATCTCTTTTGTCTCTGCAATCATATTTTACTGCAGATGGATGGAAAGTGCTCAATGAAATAATTGATGTCAAGTGTCAGCAACGAATTTGGCTTTGTGCTTTGTGCCAAAAAAGCACTTCCGTGGGCAATGACATTGGGGGCTCAATAGCATGTGATTCCTGCCTTTTGTGGTTTCACAAAAAATGTGTTGGCAAGAAAGAGGGTTGGTTTATAAAATCAAAATACTGGTTTTGTCGTTTTTGTTCAACTGTTTGATTGGAAATTATACATGCCTTTGTTTTATTTGGTATTAAATGGTTTACTTTATTGTTGTATTTTGTGTCTGACACATTTTAATATTTTTACAAACATTTTTACAAATATTTAAATAGCAAAACTTCTATGCAGTTTTAATACTTTTTGGGTTTCCAATTGGTGTTTAATTATGTTCCCAACTGTTGATAAATGTATTTTATTATTACAATTATTGTTATTATTATTATTTATTCTTCAATCCTTTAAATGTATTCAAAACATGCAATAATCTTAACATTAATATGCCAGTTAACATTTAATACCACAAACAAATCGTAATCGTAAATAATGTAGAGCTAGTTTAGAGTTTTTTCTTTACTTGAGCTGCAATTAACTAGTTAAATTAATATTCATGCATATAATAATCAGTTTAGTTTTAGAGCTAGTTTAGAGTTTTTTTCTTTACTTGAGCTGCAATTAATTAGTTGAATTAACATTCAAACATATAATGATCAGTTTAGTTTTAGAGTTAGTTTAGAGTTTTTTTCTTTACTTAAGCTGCAATTAATTAGTTAAATTAATATTCATGCGTATAATAATCAGTTTAGTTTTAGAGCTAGTTTAGAGTTTTTTTCTTTACTTGAGCTGCAATTAGTTAGTAAAATTCTTATTCAAGCATATAATGATCAGTTTAGTTTTAGAGTTAGTTTAGAGTTTTTTTATTTACTAAAGCTGCAATTAATTAGTTAAATTAATATTCATGCATATAATAATCAGTTTAGTTTTAGAGCTAGTTTAGAGTTTTTTTCTTTACTTGAGCTGCAATTAGTTAGTAAAATTCTTATTCAAGTATTTTATGATCAGTTTAGTTTTAGAGTTAGTTTAGAGTTTTTTTCTTT